ACCTCATTGTGAATGAGGCCTGTAAGGATGAGTTCTAATGATTGACATTAGAGAGATCAACAGCTTATAAAGGATTGCACATCCATGATCCCAACAGAAATTGATGTTAGGCAGTTATTTCGTTGTGGTTACATTTTATTTGGTAACTCATCGTTCTTTACATATTTCCATTAGAACTTTTGAATGAAAACCTACATGTATTTGATAGTATTGTATACTTATTACAGAGTGCTTATCTGGGTGCTAAAAGTAAAATAAGATATTTGAAAGTACCTAGCATATTGCTTGATATCCAGCAGACACTCAGTAAACGTTTCTATCTCCCCGTCCCTTTGGTTTCCCTTGGGTTTAGCATGGGCATTGAGATCTTTCAGAAATGTAACAAATTCTTGTCAAAGGGAAGTTAATAAAATTGTTCCCATTTAAAGATTATGTTTCTAAATGGTCAGTGTGTGTTGAACACTCACCTGAGTCCCAGGATCTTTGATATTAATACCTTTTAGAAATAGTCACCCCAAAATTAAGTTAAATTAGTAAAATGTGATTGATTTGGTCAACCAGCCTCAGATTAGGTTTAGCTACTTTAAGTACCAGAATGAGAAAATTTATTAATGTGGCAGTAGAAGCTGGCGTGGGTTCTGGAACATTTGAAAGCCTAAAAGAAATTTTTTTTGTTGCTGTTCAAATGGGAACAAAACATTCCTTTCTAAATCCCCACAACACAGTATTCTTAAAAGAAGAAAGTACATTTTCTGTATACCTTCGTGCAGTTTCTTAAATTGACCACCCAACTCTGTGTTTGCAAACTAAAAAAAATCGCTCATTTTAAGTGTGAAATCACTCACCCTAAAGGTTAATGTGGCAAGTTTCAAGTGTATTAAATCATTTTGAGAGCTTGACTTTTGGGCAGCGACCACACCAAAAGCAGACCCAGCCCTTTCAGACTGATTTCTCAGGCCTGTTCTCTCCAGCAAAGAAGGAGGATGTGCTGAGGCCAGGTGTTAGGTTCAACCCCTTGAAAGGATTAGTGACTGCGGACTGTTCTCATCTTCTGGTCTTCTGTGGAGTTCAGACAGAAACACTGCGAGGGGCTTTGCCACAGGGAGGACAGCAGCTTTCTCACTTAGTCTGCATAAGCGAGCTTCTCACTCCTGCGGAGCACGTGGCTCATCCCAGCCTCAGACTCCCAAGGGGAGATCGGGAAATGCTCTACCTGGTGCAGCCGGCAGCACAGACAAGGACAAGGGTGCTGCTAGTAGCTCCAGAGTCCAAGAGAAAACCCCGATGGTCTGGCAGGAAAGATGGAGCCAGAAGTTTCAGTGCTTAGGAATATTTCATCCTGTTTGTGCTAGACCTTCATGTATTGTTCACTTTGTTACACTCCATTGTATTTTGGATACCGATTGAAATTAATTGCTCTCTTAAATCTTTAGGGCTTCTGCTAAATTTGCATGAATGTTGCTGTGAAGTCTTTTCCATGTTTTCCCAGTGTTAGGAAAGAATTATTGTTAAAGTAGACCACATTTCAGTGCTCTGACAAAAAGAAAGTCTCTTTCCTAGCTGTCTAAAACATTTGGATGGAATCTCAGAAATCTAGTTTGAAACTGTATTTGTTGTTGTCTAGGAAAAAACTGATGAAAGATTTAAATGAAATTTCAGATGATATATAATTTTTGTACTTCCATCTCTGTATAGTGATAAGACCAGATAACTTGGAATTAGTATTCAGAAACCATGCATCTTTTCATTTTATTGAAGAAAATTTATAAATCTGAATAATTAAGGTACATTGCCCTAAGAGCTTTTAAAAGTAATTACCATACTGTATATCTTCTCCTCTCTCATTGGAAAATTCCCTCACTTTATTTCCTAGCACAGAAAGGAATGGTGTCAACTTAAGCAGCCATTGTCAGTTGCCTCTGTGACCTTGTGTCCCTGCCACGTGACGTGACTGAATGATGTGTCTGCGTTTTGTAAGGGCAAATGAAGGGATGTCAAGGTAGTAGAGGCTGCAGCTCTCATTTTCAGTCTAGAATTAACAGCCTGTGGCAGCTCATCCCAGGCCAGGCCTGAGTGACAGGGAAGCAGAATGGATGTGACCTCAAAGGCATGCATCCTCTGGGTTCCAGCTCCGTGATTGGGCTTGTGGTAGGGAACCTTTTAGAGCTTTCAGTGATAACAAACAGCCTGCTCTGCAGCACTCATGCCATAGGTTCGCCACAGTGCTCTAGAATAAACCCAGTGTTCAAAGCAGAATGAAAACCCGGACACTGCCGTTTTTCTACCCTGATAACCACCAGACTCTCAGTGGTCTCATCACATCACCTCCCCACCCCGCAGTTCTCAAAATAATAACCTGGAAATGAAGTTTGGCTTAGTATGTAGAATACAGATCATACACATACATGCATATTTATGTATAAATTGAGCTGTGATCTAGCCTTCCACTTAAAGAATTTATACTAAAATGGTGTTTGAAATTACACTTAATCACTGCTTTATAATGAATGTTATTTAATTACATTTTGGTTTAAAGATTGGCTTCTCTCCTCTGTTGCAATTACATGACTTTTTTGAGGAGTGGTTTAATTTTGCTTTTTAACCCGGTCTTGTGGTTTTTAAAAGTACCCTACCACAGGGTATCCAAAAGTAGGACATTCTGGCATTTTTCCCACTTTCCACTCTTTGTCATACATGCCAGATGCCAGATTTCTTTGGGAAATAGTCATTTGTAAAAGGTCAAGAGCAAACGGGGAGAGGATTATTTAGTGTAGGGTTGCTGCTCGTTGGAAACTAAATATCTGTAACCATGTCAGAGTTATTTGTATTTGCGGAAACATTTACATACAAGTGCTTTCTGTGACATAAAACACACTATAGCACAAAGTGTGTGTGTCCCCTGGCTGGGGACAGATAGCAAGGAGGTTTGACAAGTGATTGTGGCAGTGAGGTCATTCACTAATTAAATCACAAAACATTTTCAGAGTATTTTCATTTCTTTGTCCAGTAAAGTTTTCTCCTCCTGTAGGCCAAAGCAAACATTTTACTGTATTTACTAATTACAGGTTAAGCATTTAATCATTGTAAAGACAAGTAAGTGGAAAAACTGGGCAGAATTTTCAGGACCTAGTCAAAGACCAGTAGGGACTCTCGCTCCCTTGTGTAACTTTAGCTCTCAGTGTCTTCCCAAAGGAAAGACGTGATGTGAGCACTTCCTCATCCTGAATCTGTATGTTGACGGAACTACCAGCAGACCTCCCAACTTTGAGGAAAGCTGACACAGCTTTGTCACATACGCTGTCCTTGTCACATACCTCCTGTCCTTGCCTCCTCCTCCCCACCATAACCATGATGAATTTCTGTTCAGAAATTTCGCCTATACAGAAATTGCATCTGTATTTATTGTCATATTGAGATAAGTGTCCTTGATACTCTAGGGAATCAGAAGCATTTCAAAGGGCTCGGTCTCTCTACATGCTAAGGCTCCATGGCCATGTGGCCCTAGTGAATCACATCTTACGAGTAATTCCTTCTTGAAGCATTGGTTAGCTTTTAAAAAGTTCAGTGGCCATTCCTTCCCCCTACAGAGTCTATGGTGTTCTGAGCTTTCTCACTCTTGTCTTGGTATCTAAGGCATCTCGGTAAGTTTAGTTATTGTAATTGGCTAAAAGATCATGTCTAGAGAATTCTAATTAAGAGTTTACTTAAGGAAGGGCTTGCCATGTTCGACTTCTCTCTCAGACTGTGAGTGCCATGCCTTTGATGGCTTTCTAGCACACAACTTCAACCAAATGTTTGTGGCCTGGTGAGTTCATAGTGTTTACAAATTCAAGAAGTCCTTTCTGGAATCTCTGAATCCCACTTGTTAATGACTTTCACTTGTTTAAGAGCCAACCTTTATTCCAGTTGTTCAGTGTCAGTAAGCCCGAAGGCGGGGGTTTGGTGACGTAGGCCGCCCCACTTCTCAGCCATGCCTTCCACTCCTGGTCACCAGCCTCTGCTGCAGTCAGGCGCACCTCCCCTGCTTCACACCGTTGACCTTGGCTAACATCTTCCTGTTTTCTCTTGTCCTGCTTGAATCCTGCTTTCCAGTTCCTACTCCTCATCTGCTGATTTCCTCTAGCTGTAATGCCAACATCATTTTCCCCATACTGTCTTGGCTCTTGGTCCTATTTTCAAATGTCCGTCTCATCTTGACAACTAGAATATGGGCTCCTCCGAGACAAAGGTAATCCTGCTTTTCACAGCATACATCATCACAACCCTTATTGGTTTGTTTTCCTTTTGTTTTTTTGAGACAGGTCTCATTATTTAGTTCAGGCTGACTTTGAGTTCACTGTGTAGCTCAGGCTAACCTTGAACTTATGGCAACCCTCCTGCCTCAGCCTTTCAGGTGCTGAAATTGCAGGTATGTGCCACTTTGCCTAGCTTCACAAGGCTTTTTGCTCATTTTAAGCACGCAGTAAATATCTTTCCATTGTTAAAATGTAAGCCATTTTTGCTACCTCCAATTTTTTTTATTTTTCCAAACCAAATGTCTACATTTAATCTTATGATGGATACACACACACACACACACACACACACACACACACACACACAGGGATATATATCCATATTATACAGGGTTAGACTCCTCAGTACATTTGTAAGACCTTAGTACCTGAGAAATGAATCACAAGCGGATTTACAGGTCCACAGGTCCAAGTTTTTATTTTAACAGAACTTGTGCTATAACATTGGGGTGAGGGTCCCTTCTATACTAACTCCTATAATTACATTTTTTTAAAAGCAAAATTACTTGTAGAACTAATGCAAATACTAAATAATGTCATTTGGAATAAATGAAGTGCTATATAGAAAACATTTGGCATAAGGAGCACCTCCTGCCACCTCCTCCCTTTGGCTGTTTGAGCCAGGGTGGGTGGGATGTCCGTTTTTACAAAGGCACAGATGTGGAGAAGAATACTGAATGGGTGTGTGTTTTTATTTCCTCCTAGGTGTGGTCGCTCACCTATCTACCGCTCCCGGGAAATGGCAGCTCGTGCTTTGGTACCTCTTGTTATGGTAGACCAGGTTCCTAATACTGTCCGATCCCTGCTGGCCACACTCCCCAGCTGCACTGACCAGTGTTTCCGGCAAAACCATATTCATGGGACCCTTCTCCAGGTAAGCCAGGTTACTCCTTTATATGCTTTCTTCATCTCAAACATGACTGCTGTGTTACACTGTGATTCTGGCAGATTATTTTTGGCACTAATCCTTGTGTCTTCTACAACATACTATGCTATATTAAGTATGCCTGCAGACCACTTTCTAACCAGGAGGAAGCTGTGAGCCTTCCTTGGCAGCAGCTTGCCTAGCAGGGAGGGAAAGAAGCTAGACACGTCAAGAAGAGTTCACCCTATAGTACAGAGCCGCAGGATATGAAAATCAGTTTTCCAGTTTGGAAGAAACATGTATTTTGAAAAATATACAAATTAATTTATTGTAAAGATTTAAGTACAGGAAAGAAAGATTTAAGTACAATGAATAATGGGGAAAGGACATCTTACTGAGACTCCTATTTAACCCTAACACAGGGACAGGTAGTGCTGGCTAAATCTTCAGTTCACATTCTACTGTGGTTCCACATGGAGTGGGCTACAGATAGAATTTAAATGTCAGGTCATTTTCCTGGTTTATTAGAAGGGTGGATTGGCCTTGAGATCCCAGTAGCTGTTACAAGTACAGGGTCCATGCTGCCAAAGGTTAGGCAGCACGTAGAGGGTTACCAACACAGGCTTCGAGCTGGCTTGCTGGGGTGTGAATATCTACTCTTTACTACCTGTGCACCTGTGCCTTCATTTTTGAAATTATCAGTGAGTGTTGTATTCTTCAACTGGGCATGGTGGCACGCCCATGTGGTCCCAGCATTTAGGAGTCTGAGGCAAGAGGGTCACTATGAGTCTGAGGGCAGCGTAAACTACCTAGCAACACCCTGTCTCAAAACAAAACAAACAAATAAACAAAAAGTAGTGTATGCTTCTTGGAAATTTTAAGAAAACTAAATAAATTAATGTATATGAAGTACTTAGCACAGAACCTGGTCCAGAGTAAGATATATAGTTATCATTGTAATTTTAATGATAGTATTTTGGGTAGTTAATTCCCTAAAGGTGAGAATGCAAGATAAACTCATCTTCTTGCCTTCCTTCCCCTGGCTGTTTTATATATATTCAATAATTAATTCTTGAGTGCCTATTGCATCCTATGGTGTCATAATCAGAACAGGAGGTCCTTGCCACAGAGAAGACAAGAATAAAAAATTACCAGAAAATCACATCATAGTGTGCAAAGTGCTAGCTAAGCACATGGCAGGGCCATATCTTGGGAAAATTTTGCACACACCAGAATAAATTAGCCCTGCAAAGTGGAGGAATCGCCTTTGCAGAGGGAGGATCATAGAGAAAGGCTCCAGGTGGGTGAGAAATCAGCCTACCTGCAAGCTGCAAGTTTGGGTGAGATTGAAGTTCTAGGTTGATGGCTTTCAAATTGGTCTTTTGAAAGTTATTGAAGCTCCCAAGGACATTTTGCCTATCAGTATTTAATGAGAAAATAAAATTGAGGATGTATGAAAACATAGGGGCCCAAAAGCACATACGCCATTAATCATCAGAGTGAGACTATCTCACATCCCTTATTGCCTCTGGCAAACTCTACTAGATCTCAAGAGAGAATGGAAGCAAAGGAAGAAATTAAGATCTTAGCATCCTTTTGAAAGTAATTTGATCTTGTGGACCTCCTAAAATAGTTAGACACAGAATATACCCCCCAAGAACCCCAGACTACTTTTTTATTACTTTTGGTGCCAGGGTTTTAACCCTGGGCCTTTTCACTTGAGCTGTATCCCCAGCCTTTGTTATTTTGAAATGCTAAGGTTTTGAATTGCCCAGGCTGGGTTCATGATCTGCCTGCCTTAGCCTCCCAGAATGCTGGGGTTATGGGTGTGTGCCAGAATGCCCAGTATCTCAACTGCACCGTGGGGTCATCTGCCTTGTGCTATGTATAGTATAATATATAGTATAATAATATAGTATACTATGTACAGTATAATAAGAAGCTCAGTGGCTTCTTATTATGAATGCTTGAGCTCTTGTCTCCCTTGCGGCCTCACAGTTCCTCCTTGTGATGAAAAGGGTATGGAGTTACTATGCTTATAGGGATGGTTCACAGTGGGCCTAGGACCTAATCAAAGACTTCTCTGAGGTCTCTGCGCTTGTCAAACTCTGCATCTACTTTGGAGGAAAGGGGCTAGTATCAGAGAGAGATGCGGAACAGGCTTTTCTAAGTATGCACTACAGTAGAGTTATAAAAAGCCCCGATTGTCAAAGGGATCTGCCCTCAGGTTGTCTTTGTTGACACTCTTGGATGAACTTTGTCAAAAGTAATGTGGTTGGAATTGCTTCTCCCTCTTTCACTAGTTTTATGAATGCCCCTGCCCAGTCTTATCACACCACCATGACTGACAGCATGGCTGCATTTCATCAGTCTGTCCAGCAATCACATATCATTTGTTCTCTGTCTCTGGGCTACCTTTAATGTTCTCAGATTGACTTTGTTTGCTATATAGTGAAACTCTGCGGAAAGGTAAATACCTCTTCTTAGTGCTGGGGTTGTCTGCTTGTTGCTCTTGTTCCTAAATGTTAGTGACAAAAAGGACTTGTTGGAAAAACGCCAATATTATGGATGTTGGATATTTATTTCTGTTGTCAAACACAATCCTGCCTTTATCAACATTGTTTTACTCTGGTTGGAAAAAGGAAGTCAAAGGCGTGTGCAAAAGCTTCCTGTCATGTTTGTTTCAGTGTCCCATCTGTGTTGTAAGGGCTTGGTTTCACCCTGTGGTTCTTGGTGGAGAAAGCATAAGGGCTCAAGTTGGGAGGTGCTTTTCCTCTTCCCTTCTTGCAGCTTGTAGATTCCTTCTCAACATAAAGCTACCTTTGAAACCAGAAAAGGTCTGCACCTGGAAGAGAGATGTCAGGGACTGAAAGGAATGATAGTCTCCATGGGACCTTTGAGCCAGCTAAGTAAATATAAAATTGTTATTTTTTTCAAAAGCAGGAAATCATTTTGTAATCAGAAAACAAATTCTTTCACAGAACATTTTCTTGAATTATACATTTTGACTTCTTTGAAAATGTTTACATAAATATATCAAACCTCAGAGTGTTTCTATAGTATACCATAAAAACAAGAAATGTGCTGATCTCTGAATTTTCTGAGACTATAGAAGAAAGACTAAAATTATAGGACTTGCCAAAAAAAAAAAAAAAAAAAAAAAAAACATGTGGGATTCATTTCTTAATCATTTTCAAAATCAGAGGTTCATAATTGCAATGGTGAAATAGTTGGAAATAACACACATTAGAAAAGGTGAGATTATGTACCCGGTTCATAAAAGCTAAGGGTAAATGACATTAAATCTCAATAAAGGCCAGATAAGAGCCATGGACATTACCTCATTTGGGAGCAGGACTGGCAGGGCTTCCCTGACTTCTAAGTAGAATTAACTGTCTGTTTTTATTGCCAAGATTCTTCATGTTGGAGACTTAACATTATTACTAGGTTACTTATCACTCCTGAGAAATTCCTTCTTGCATTCAAGAAGAGTTTGGCCAACAGTCATAGAAATATTTAACTCATATTTTGGTGTTTCATATGGAAATATATGCCATTTGAAGAAAGAGTTTTAATGTTTAGTTTATTTCCTTGCTCTTCCCCCTCCGCACCCCCGCCTTGATATTATAAACATGAAAAAGGTGAGCCTTGCTCTTTCTGTAATTATGTGGGTGAAATGCTTTTTTCTCTTCGCTGTGCTGGGAATCTAACTCAGAGCCCTCTACATGCTAGGCAAGTGCTCTACCACTGTGCTACATATTCTCAGCGTGGGTGAAGCTGGGTACACAACTGAGATAAATATACTCATGTGTAAAGGAGGAAAAGCATTTTGTATATTGAAGATTCTAAGCAGAAAAATTCTTTTCTCTCTAGTTAATCCAAATAATCCCTTCAGTGCTATACATCCCTTTTTCTTCTAATGCTGATGCTACATTTCCTCAGTTTTTACTAGCAGAATATGTTAAACATTTTGATTCTTTTATTTTTATTCCCAATTTGGAGCCTGGGTTTCTGCTTTTGAGAACTCTTGAGTCAAAAAGATCTTACTTTTCTGTCTGTGAAGATGAGTGGCAATAAAATATTAGCCAGGGTTTGACTTGAGAAAGTTTACAATAAGAGAAATAAAATTAGTATTTTGAGCCTTCTGACCTCCATGTGAATTTCATATGTGATTTAACTCATATTCTTTTATTTATAGCCCTACAAGTTAAGACAGATAGGTATTACTATTTTTGTGTGTCTTTTGGTCTGTCTCTGTCTCTGTCTCTCTCTATCTTTAATGAGTAAGTTAAGGTAAACCTGAGAGGGTGACTGGCGTAAAATCACAGAAGTAGTCATTGACAGAAACAAGATATTAAAAGACCTCTGTTGTTTTTTGCTTTTGGATGTACTGCCTCTCTGATAATTGATTAAAGTAACAACTTGTTATGGCTAGGAAAATTAAAACAAGAATTCATCTCCATTCTGGTTTTTTCATTTGTCACTTGGTCTTTGATTGAGTGTGATATGATACCTCAACTTTGAAGGCTTAATTATCTTTCTCATTGCTGAGAACATTAAAGGAGGAAAGCTTTATTTAGGTGACAGTTTGTAGAAGTTTTAGTTCAGAATCGGTTGTCTCCAAGGCAGGGTGGCTCATGGCAGTGGAAGACAGCAAAAGCAGGCAAGCAGAAGGAAGAAACAAGGCTCTTTCTGCCCCTTTTATCTTATCCAGATGGTTGGGATTAGGGCAGTGTCAGCCCAATCAGTGGGCTAATCCAGCAGTCACCGACCCTTAATTCCAGCATTGAACCAGGAATCAATCGCAAACTCTAGATTCAGCTGCCACAGAAGAAGCCCCGTCTAAAAGTGGGTGAAGCTTCACGGAGATGGACTGAAATCTAGAGATGGCGCACTGGGACGATGTATTGTACCACCCTCCCCAGTTTTCCCTCCGTGTGTCTGTCATCATTTCTCCTTGGTCTTCCACTTAAAGCTTCTTTAAAGTTCCTACCTCCAGAAAGGGGGGC